TTCAGCTTAATTTAGCATCATTTTGTGAGCACCTCCTCCTCTAGGCTCTGTATGTGGAATACAGAGATGAGTGAGACTCTACCTAATCCTCATGAGCAGTGCAATCTAGAGAGAAAGACATACCTACATGCAACCAAAATGTAATCAGCTAAGAGCCAGAATAAGACAACATACCGGATATTATCATGGCAGAGAGAGGTGGAAAAATAGTTCTCTCTCTGCATAACTCAGGAAGGGTTTTCAAGACAGTCAGAAGTTTCAAAGAATGAATTGAAATCCACAGGATTGGTGATATATGTAACCAATATTTTGTGTGTTTGTGTGCATACCTCTACTTTCTTAACAATGTTATGAAAAAGTCTCAGCCAAAAAAATTCCATCTGCTCTACATAAATTGTAGCAGGATGTGCCCAAGAGAAGGAAGGAATATGTTCAGTGGCCCAACTCATATACATGTTTTCAAGGAAAGAGGCTGAGGGAAGGAGGCTAGGACCTTAGGAATGTAAGATCACTATTATCACAGAGGAAGCTCCCACTGTGAGAAAACCTGAAGAAGGCTGCTCTCTAGGGTAGGTGGACAGGAGCATGACCACCTCTCATCTAGTAGATCTGGGCAAATCGTTCCTTTGTTCAACTTCTTTACTAGCACCTAGTGAGGGTTTCTGCTCTGTGACCCTGCAGTGCCTTGTACTCCTAACAGCACCTCTGGACTATATTTAGGGCCTTCTACACTGGCTGTTCTCCCTTCTTAAAGCTCTGTCTCCTCAGATGCCTGCATGACTAACTCCTTTCCCTCCTTCAATCCTTGACTCAGATGTCTCTTTCTCAGAGAGTCCCGTCTTCACCACTCTGTTCTAAAATGCAACCTTCACTAACACCACAGCCTTACTGCATCCCACAGCCCTGATCCTCCCACCCCTGCTCTATTTTTAACTTTTTTCATAGCAATTAAAAATCATTACTATCCCATTATTTAAAGGTTTTTATTAATTTTAACTTTTTCCCATCTCCTCTCAATAAAATGTAAGCTCCATGAAAGCAGGTTCTATCACTAATAGATCCCATGCTCTTTGAATCATTGGTTCATAGTAGATGCTCAACATTTGCTGAATCAATGAATGAATGAGTGGCTAAGCGAGTGCATCTCCTTATCTATATTCTCAACCAAACATAAGCTCTACAAGGGTAGGAAGCAAGTCTCTGAAATGCTATATTGTCTGGCAATAGAAGATACTCTGTAAACAGTATCACATTTCATATTTAAATGCATATTATCTCATTTCTATATGTGGATATTTGATTATATTCTGAACTCCGTGTGTTTATCTGGGTGAGTACAGAACCAACTTTCCTCTGTATATGCCCCATTCAGTAAGAGATGATGGGGACCTTAATAGACACATGAAAAATTTTGAGTAGATTTTCTAATTCCAGGACCTGTCCTGCCACAATCAAATATGTAATTCCCATTCAATTTTCTGAAAAATCAGAAACAACATAACAAACCCAGGATGGAGGATAGCTGAACTGGTCACTAATAGTCTGGTTTTGTGTTATATGAATGTTTATATATTAGATATTATGCTTATTGAAAATATATGGTATGTGAATATTTCATTATTTGCTCTGTTAAGCCATCACTAGTACAATGGTACTAAGGATTTGGGGCAGTCATTATCAAATGTTCTTGGATCTTTTTCTACCATTTTTTTTATATACTTGTGAGGAAAAGAAAATTTGTTGAGCACTTCCTCTGTTACCAGTTAGCAAACACTTCTTAACAGAAGTTCTGTTGGAGAGCAGAGGTATGCCTCCTTTGTTCATGCTCCACGAGCAACCCTAGAACCAGGGGATGGCACTGACAGGGAAGAGATTTAGATCTAGACTCAAACCAACAAATACTGAGCACCAGCTGGGATCTAAGAGCTCTTATATAATTCTCATTAGTGACCTATTGGACAAGGATTCCTGACCCTCATTTTACATTTTTAGAAACCCAGGTACCAAGGTGTGAAGTAATTTTCTGAAAATCACACAGCTGCTTAAAATGACAGAGCCAATATTTGAATCTGGAACTAATTGATGACCCCATCTACTGATCTTTACATGAGTTATCCATATAAATTTAAATGTTTGAATAATAATTGGGTTTTAACAATAATGAAATTTAATGTCAGGCATTTTCTTCTTTTCATCCACTGCAAGCTTACTAATTAGTGGCAGTAAGACCCTGAAAGGTGAATTACTAAGGCTTGATCTACCTTCTTCACTCAGATCAGAAATAAAGGGCTGTGATCAGGGCTGTGCCGGCTTTTCTGAAGTCGATTTGCTAATACACAGTAAGAGCTCTTGAAACAGTTTATGTTCCTCTTTCCCATATTTCTTTTCTGAACATCCAGCTGATGGTACTTGGGGGAAAGAACAATGATTTTAAGGTGATTAATCTTTACAGCCTCACCCAACCCTGGACCTGCCATGGTCCAGGGAGCCCTGCCTTTGGGCAGGTTCAGCTTTGCTTCTGCTTCCTCCAGAGGGAGGACTCGTCACTCAGTACTGAAATATAAGCCAGTGTGACAGGCTGCCAGGACACCATGAGAGAGAAGGCAGGCAGGAGTGGGCTCATCCCTGGAGACTCTGAAGAATAGTTGTCTGAAATGATCAACATACAGGCCTCCGGACACAAGAAGTATGCTTTCACCATGTCCCTGGGAAAATTGGGAGCACTAGAGTGTTAGAGGGCATGAGAGAGAATGAAACAGGGGAAGTGAGAAAGGGAGAGAAAGGTGGGGGAGGGAGAGGGAGAAAGCTGTCACTGCCCCTGGAAGCACTGCTGGTTCCCTGATTATAATCAGAATGCCACAGCTACAGGGAGGCCCAGGCAGGATGACCTCTGGAACCCAATTAGATCCATCTCCAGTCATGAGAGGGACTTCCTGATTCCTTGGGTACAATAGAAATTGACATTTCCCCAACCCACTAGTGATGTAGAAATAGTCCGATGTGATGAGAAGAGTATCTTAAAGAGTATAAATCTGCCTTCCAAGGTTATTAATGATTAAATGGCATAACCCATATCATACCATAATCCATGACACAAAATAAATTTTCCTTTCTATAAAACAGGAATAACACCTGCATTTTGAGGGGCATCTTTTGAGTAATAGATAATAAACACCAGCCCTGGCGCACTGTAAGGCTAACTACTTGGTCAGTAGTTACTCAATAAATAAGAATTGACAGAGGCTAATGTGTTTTCAACCACCGAGATTGGTTTGCTGGTGGTATCAGCCATTCTTTTCATTGGGGACAATTAGTTACTGAAGTGGAAGGGAAATAAGTGACTATGTAGAACTCAGTCTGGACATGATGACTCACCCACAGGGTGTGTGCATTACTATTTCTTGAGGAGATGTCAAAAGTAATCAGTACAAAGCTGTGTATTTCCTCTACTCTGAGATGAACATCTTCTTACTTGAAGGGAAGAAATGTTGCAGTCATCACCTAAGAAAGGCATGGAAATCCATGCTAGACACCACTCAGGCCTTCCTCACCCATTGTTTCTGACTGTACATGCCATTGCAGAAAGGAAAAGAAATGACCTTTGTTGTTCTAAAAATTGCCCTATGATAAATGAAAGATTGAAAACAAAAAAAAATAAGTTTTATTGATCATTTGTTCTGCCCTGGGAATAGAATAAATATGGACTTTCCCTGTCCCCCATGTTCACACAAACTAAAACATGCAAAGTCCACATGGTGGCAAATGCCTGAAATCCCCAACCTGGAAGCCTGAGGCAAAAGGATCTCAACAGGTCTCAAATTCAAGACCAGCCTGGACAACCTATCAAAACCATGTCTCAAAATATAAAAGAAGAATGGCTGGGTTGTAGCTCAGTGGTAAAGCACCCCTGGGTTCAATGCCCAAACAAACAAAAACATTATATAATGTAATGGGAGAGGAGATATTAACGTTCGTGAAGATGTGGGGAGAGGAAAGGAAGGAATTGAAGAATGGATAAAGGAGATGACACAGAACTAAGTGAGTCTCACAACACAAATACAATCAATCCTATGAGATATAGATTAGTATCAGTCACATGTAAATTTACATTTCCTCAAAGTGTTTTGCAGAACAGAAGCATAGAACATGACAGCTGCATACACCTAACAATTTTGTTTGTTTGTTTGTCTGGCTTGTTAATTATATAGAAGCTGCAGCCCAAAGAGGTTAACTTACTCACTCAAGGTCACACAGTAAGATTATGTTGATGCCCAAACTAGAACCCCTGTCTCTTAACTCCATCCAAGATTGTTTCTACTTCCAAGATTCCCTCTCTGTTGAAACACTTATTCCTTACATTCATGAGGAGATAAATTAATGTTTTTAAGAAAGAGAAACAGACAGAAAGCTTTGATTTTAAAATAAGAGCAACTGGAACTGGGGCTGTGCTCAGTGGTAGCACACTTGCCTAGCAGGTTTGAGGCACTGGGTTCAATCCTCAGCACTGCATTCAAATGAATTTTTAAAAATAAAGGTCTATTAACAACTAAAAATATTAAAAATAAATAAAATAAGGACAACTACTGAAGATTCAATCTCTCTGCTCCCAGTCTACCATTCTTTCCCACAGCCCTCTGTTGAGAAAATGATTTGGGGATTACTACTTATGTATTTTTATATCACATTTAAAAGACATATTCCATTCCCCTTCCAACACTGTGGAAATTACCCTTCATTCATCTCCACAATAGGCAAAAGGTTGAGGTAAAGGAATTATATTAGCTATTGGTTATTGTGCTAAATGCTTTTCCTATGTCACTTCACTTGACTCTCTACAAATATGTAAGATATAAAAAAAACTAACCCCATTTTGCAAATAAACCAAGGCCCAGAGCACTCCACTGATTTTCTCTATGACATTCTGCCAGAACAAGGTGGACTGACGATATGTCTCTTTCTCTCTGATGTCTTTACTTAATGCACTAACCACAGCTACTTACCTTATTAATGTGAGGGTGGAACAGACCACCCAAACCAGGCATGGTGGGATGGAGCAGAGAGTGGACTTTATATTCTGCTGCATAGAAGGCTAGAACAAGGTCTCCTTTAATCAAGCAGAGATCTCAGCTTCAGTAGACACAGGGAACTGAGTCAAAGCACTCTGCTTCTTGGACCTTAAAGTTGTCATGGAAACAGAGTCCCATCCAGCCCAAACAAGTTCACAGCACAGAAGGGAGTTATTGCTGATTCACTACTTTATTTCTAAATGCCTCTGTAAAGAGTCTGATGAGGCTGGCTCTGGGACCTATATACTCTCAGTAGCTTCAGATCTATTAGAGGAGGCAAAACTCATTCCCATTCAAGACTGGAAGTTGTAGGCTTCACAAGAGGCCTCAAGAGAGTGCCTTGCAACTTTAGAGAAGGAAGAGGCAGCTTCTTCCATGCCTCAGCTTCCTCATCTAAAAACAGAGAACAGAATATTAATCTCAAGAGGTTTTTTGTGAAAATTAGATGAAACACAAATATAAGCAACTAAAGCCTAAAAATCTTTGTGTGGCATAAATAAGCATACCTGTATTTCAGACTGTTTACAGAGATAAGATTATATAAAGCAAAGATACTTTGCCAATGGCTTAGCCAATGCTAGGCACTCCATAGATTATTATAGATGCTTGGTAATTATTATTATTATTCCAAATAGTCTTTGTTCAGGATCATCAAACTGGTGACCTTTGCCTTTTACCTGTTTACTATTAAATCATGTTATTTCTTATCATCTGTATTTGTTCTCCATTGCTGCTATAATAAATTTCCTTCCTTGATTTTAGAATCCAGAAATGCCAGTTGAGCCCTTCTCATGTCACATCTCTATTCTTTTGCCTCGTCGTCTTCTGTTTTCAAGGATTCATGATCAGACAGGGCCCACCCAGATAATCCAAGATAATCTCCTCATCAGCATGTCCTTTATGCCACATAGGTTCTAGAGATTCTAGGTTCCACAGATTAAGACATGGACATCTTTGGAAAGCCTTTATTTATTCCTATCACAATACCCCATCAGGTCTTCAGTTCTTTTCACATAAATGCAGAACATGATTCCACTAAACTTTTCACTGCTTTGCAAGGATCTTTTTCCTAGTGTCCAATAACATATTCTACCCCCTTAGCATCCTCCAAGTCCAGATTTCTGTAAGAAGTCTGTGAAGCTTCATTAGTACATCCTTAAAGTCTATATTTTTGTTAATCTTATGTTCAAGATAGTCTAAAATTCTCTATCATGTTCTTCAACATTCTTCCAGCCTCTTTCCAGTACCCAGTTCCAAAGCCACTTCCACATTTTTAAGTAGCTATTACACAGCACCCTGTGTCTATTGCTACCTTAAGAAATTACTATGAGTCTAGTGACTTAATGTCTCAGCAAAATAAAATCAAGCTGTCAGCAGGCTTCACCCTTTCTGGAGGATCCTGGGAGAGCCTCAGATAGAGGCATATTCAGGTTGTAGACCAAATCCAGCTCTTTATGGTTGTACAATTAAAGTCCCTTTTTTCTTGTTGGCTATAACCTGATAGTCATTCTAAGTTTATACAGAAGACCATTTTCCTTGGTTAGAGGCTCTGTTCCTCCACCTTCAAATTCAGTCCTACTGGTAAATCAAGTCCTTCTCAAGTCACATCCCTCTCATCTACTCTTCTACCTTCTTCTCCAATTTCGGACTCATACATTTAGTTTGTATCCACCCAGATAATCAAGCATAATCTCCCCATTTTAAGACCTTTAACCTTAATCACATTGGCAAATCCTCTTTGTTATTTAAGGTAACGTATTCACAGGTTCTGGAGATTAAAGTATAGCCATCTCTAGAAGTTGGATTAGGGACATTATTCTTTCTATCCTATCATTTATAATCATGAGACACATCAAATAATTTTTGCTGGTTAGAGTGATGCTGTCCCTGTAGTTCTCTCACCCTTGTCATTCTCTACTATCCCAGCTTTAACCAACATAGAAAACACTATTTATGGTTTATGATTATTACCTATTACTAAAGTCTAAGGTCAAGAAGAAAATATGAGTGTTTGGGATTACAGAAGGTTGCTTGCAAAACAACAACAAAAATGGACTAGTGTAGCCCAAAATTTACAGTTTGTGGTGACAGGCAGTTTTTTCAGGTTAAGTCTTGCCCCATACACGCTTGGTAGCTAATGCAGCACAACATTGCTGAAATTAGCCAAGTCAGTGTTTCCTCATCTGTAGCAGAAGGCTAATATAGACATCACAGTTGTGAGAACTGAATGTGCATTGAGTGAAATACTCATCCCTCCCTCTTGCAGCCTATTCCATATTATCACCAAATCATGAAAGCCTTTGGAATGAGATCTAGGTACAATGTTCCTTGTTAAGGATTTCTAAGGTCAGAAGCATGAGCTTTTGAGTCAGACACATCTTTCTATACTTGAATCCTGATTCTATCACTTATCTAGCCTTTTTTGTTTTAGCTTTTTTAGTCTCAATTCCTTCAAGACCACAAAATGCTTACATGGCAGGATTGCTGTCTGATATAATAACAAAATTCATTCTGTGTTGGGCACTCTGAATGTATGATCTCTTTGTTATATCTCCACAACAATCTAGTAAGTTAATGTTATTAGTATCTGCATTTCCTAGTTGAGGGAATGGCCACCTATGGATGATCACAGCTAGGAATGACAGATTGGGACTTAAGCCCAGGTCTCTTCTGTCTCAGAAGCCTGGCTTACAACTCATATGCTATCTTGCCTACCCAGTGATATGAATGAAACAATATAAAATGCTCAACACATTGTGGAACCCTAGTAAAGTGCTATTCAGTAGGGCATCCAGGTATCTGCAGCCATGTAACAGAACCATGAGGACAAGCATCTGTTTCACTCTTCCTAGACATCCCCAGCTGGCAATGAGCTACCACACACTAAAATTCAGGAGGGGCAGGAGGGCTGGGAAAGACATTGCACTGTTTGTGTCAAATTCCACTTGTCTAATGGACTTGTTAAAAGCACCCTGGGTGGAAAGTGTGAGTCTTAATGGCATTTTATAAAAGTTACTGTGATGAATTAGCACATAAAGCAAATTAAAAACAGCTTATCGCTTTTTAAATTAGGTGATGGGGCATTGTAGCATTTTTCCCAGACGTGAGGCTCCATTAATATCCAAAGGAGCCAGAAGCTGCTGAAATGTGTCAGCTGCGTGGTTTTAGGAACCTGACAAGTCTGAATCTGTGTAACACTAGAGGGGCAGTTTGTCCAAGATAAACAGAGCCCATGCAAAAGCATGCTGCTGGGCTCTCCAAAAGGATATCCATTGCTAGAGGCAGGAGTTGGGGCTTCCCCTTCAGGAATCTTGGGAGCAATGGAGCACATTCAGTGAATGAATGATCTGGTAAAAACTTCCAGGAGCACTCCTCCCCTTCTCAGCCTTACAAATGGGGGTGCTGAGACTTTCACTAGTCATCTGAAAATTTTCATAGACCATACTGAGGATCTGCATGGGCCCTGTGCCATACTGGGTTCTAAAGATAAAGAGGTGCTTCAGATGTCTTTATATGCAGTCCAGAAAACATGTATTGAGTACTCACTGGGGCCAAGCTGGTGTTGCAGAACTTCACATATAACATTTCATTTAATCTTCACCACAACTCTTTGAAGTAGCTGTTATTATGCAACTTTTACAATGAAGAAAACTTGAGGCCCAGAGAGGTTACATAATTTGTTCAAGATGGCACATTTTAAAACCCAGGCAGTCTGGCCCTAGAGCCTACATTCTTGGCACCACATGCCAGCTTTCCTGATGGCTTCTCTATCTCCACTCCTCTCACTCGACATCCAGGAGCTTGGAACCAAGTGAGCAGTTCAAGTACTTTTAGGATAAGAAATTCTGGGACAAGAATTAAGGAGTGAGGGACCTTCACAAATTTAAAGAGGTAGTTAGCTCTGAAGGAAAGATTTAAGATCCTTTCTACTGCTAGGTCATGAGCATAGCCAGAGGGCAACAGTCTAGGAAATTGAGCAATATAATAAAATGGCCATAAAAGTAGTTTTCGAGTCTGACTTCATTTTATATTCAGTCTCTCCAACATGTATACATGTGACCTGGGGCAGGGCCCTTAGCCTCTTTAGACTCCTTTAGACTCCTCTAGGCTCTTCATCTACAAAACAGAGATACTAATTTTTTCTCTTAAAGTTGTTATGATTTCAAAAATAACAGTAATAACAAAGTGCCAGATTGCCTATTAAGATCACAAGCAGTGGTAGCCATTATATCTCTCATCTTTATCACTAGCTCACCATCACCACCTCCTTCCTCCCAGGTTGGATGGGGGACAAGGTAAAGAGCACTGAAGTGTAACTTAGGTCTGGAGGCTCAAATCCCAGCCCTGGGTTGCTGCCACTAAGCACAGCCCTGTATCCTGGGGTCAGTCAGTCGGCCTCCCTCATCTGTAAAAAGGGGATGATACTCCCTCTCATACCTTCTTCACAGGCATGGGTCAAGTTGCAAGGGAGTGTATGTAAAATTGCTTGCAGTCTGAAGAATGTGTGCTGGGTTCTACACAACAACACATGGGTTGGCAGTTCTCTACAAGCTTCCACAGGATTCAACACAAACTTGTTACTATGGTTTATTACAACAAACAGATATAAAGTAAAATCAACAAAGAAAAAAATCCTAGAACAAAGTCTACAGGAAATGAGGTGTGAGCCTCCAAGACTCCTCTCTCAATGGAGGCACATAGAACATGCCTACTCCTTCCAACAAAAAGCTGGGAGAGCAGGTGTGAAATGTTTTTTGCCAGTGAAGCTCATTAGATACCAGGGTCCAGGGTTTTTACTGGAAACTGGTCACATACGCACCCCCTGCCTGGAACATACCACAACTCCAGACTCCCAGAAGGAAAGTAGGTGTTCAGCATAACAATATTGTTTGTATTAGGCACATAGGTATTCTTGTCAAGAACTAGTGGGAACCCTTCCAAAATCTTAAGTTCCCAGATGTCAGCCAAAGAGCACCGTTGCAAAAAGTCCTCCTTATGGATAGCAGTCTCAGGCCTGCTTTGTTAACTCTTTTTTTTTCACAGAGTGGAATCTATGGAAAGGATTTTGATTAGTATACACTCAAAAGGGAAAGTTTTCCGCCTGGCCGGAACACAAACTTCCGGTCGGGCCGAGTAGTTCATACATACTGGTTATCACTCTGTGCCAGGCACTGTGATACATACTTTACATAGATTACCTCCTGTAACTACACAACTCAGTATTGGAGGTGCTATTATCATCACCACCATCATCATCATCACCATCACCACCATGTTATATATGAGGAAACTGAAGCCCCAGAAAGGTTAAATACCTTGCCCAAGTAACCAGCTGAATGACTAGTGAGAGTAGAACCAGGACATGGCCCCACCTGTGTGGCCCTAACTGCTATGCTATCCTCTGCTACAGTGCATCTACCAGGGGGTAGGTGCTGCATGTGTGTTATTTCATTAACACTTACTAGCAGCTCTATTAGAATGTGGTTGTTGGAGTGATTTTGTATCAAAAACCCTGTGATTAAGCAATGTTACTTAGTTTGTCATATCAGATAGCCAGAGAAGTGAAAGCATGAGGAGCAGGTCTCTGTCACCCTCCAACCCCTTTTCTTGGCTAAGGCTTTGTCTGAGCCTTTGGTACGGAAAATGGAATTTTTTTTTTTTTCTGGAAGCTCAGACCTGGAAACTCTTTGAATTTCATCACTTAGGAATGGAAGAAGAACTGTATTATAATTCAGCTTCTGTAGTATTTAAGAAATAAACACTGTCTTTGGGCTCTTTTTGGTTACTACGACAGCACATGTGACATTTCCTTAATGGGGGGCGGGGGAAGAAAGAAAAGAACTGCTCTTGGTTCTCAATGATTTTAGAAAAATTAATTCTCCAAATCTAGCTTATTTTACCAGAATAGCAGTCACAGGTTAAGAAAATTCTTAGAATGGAATCAAAGGAATAAATAGAGAGGTGGTGAAATCTGCTTCTCCTAGGAAATCATGCACTGTACATGTGTGGTAGTAGTTTTTGAGAGTGCAGGATACAACAGGATGAAGGCAATATAGGTCTTGCAATAAATTGTCACCTCCTTAAGACAACAGCTTAAGAAAGGTTCTATTCACCGTTGTTTTTCTGCTTCTAATCCCTGCACCCACCAGTCATAAAATGCCAATGCATTGGCCTTAGTGAAGGCTCAGTTAAAGCTCTTTAGTGAGAGAGACATGATACAGACAGCAAGTATCATAATTCAGAGTGATAAGTACAGTGATGATACAGGCTTGGCATCTTACAGAAGCAAAATGATTTTTAATAAATAAATAAAAATCTTCATAGCAAAAAGAATGATTTGTGAGGTTGTTCATATGAAATTGGTCTACTATATACACATAAACAGATCTATGTATATATTTTTATATATAGTCATTTATTGCATTTTAAACATTCATTCAGGTTATTATGTTAACCCCTTCAACCATCCAATATCAACAACAGTCCAATATTCTATTGTTGGAAGAATTACAATCCTCTACATGTGGGCATGTTAAGTTATTACCATTTTCCCCTATTATAATGGAAATAGTCTATAGGATGATACATCTGAGAATACTTGTTATAACACAAAATAATCTATTCATTTTATTTCTCTTTTTAGTAATTTTTAAAATGTGATTGTAATAGGAGAAAAAAAAAGTCTCTCAATTAGATAGTAAACTGACTTTCTCTCCCCCATTATCACCTTGTAACATCTGACAAAAGAAGAAGACCTTGGTTTCAGGGACCTAGAGCTCCCTTGCAATCCCTAAGGAGAAGCAAGAACTAACCTCCATCTGTAACCAAAACAATGGGAATGAGTTCTGTCATCCTGTGGCTTGAGATCAAAAGATTATGGGTTCTCAGGGCAGGCATGAAAATTCAAGAACATGAATTTTAAATCCATACTATCAGAGATTCCTAACCATGCCCTCTTCTGTCATTTCTCTCAGAGCCATGTTTGACTATGACAAAAGCAAGGACAGTGGGCTGCCAAGTCAAGGACTTAGCTTTAAATACGGAGATATTCTCCATGTTATCAATGCCTCTGATGATGAGTGGTGGCAAGCCAGAAGAGTCACTCTGGAGGGAGACAGCGAGGAGATGGGCGTCATCCCTAGCAAACGGAGGTAAGAATGCTTTTCATACATCAGAATATTAGCTCTTCAGCTAAAGAGGGTGTGGAAATGAAGGAAGAGGAAGATGGAGGAAACTGTTCACAAAATATATTTAAGTGGGATAGACAATCTGCAGGAAAATTGTCAGTGGTGACAGGTGACATGAATAAAAAAAAAATCTCATTTTCCTCATTTTAGGATTTTACCAAAATTGGTAACTGTGACAAGGAATAAAGGAAAAAAATAAGATCTGCTTACACTGTGTTCCTCAAACTTTTCCCAGAATCTCTCTGCAGGTGCAAGGTTATGCTTACCAGCCTGTATGCTGACTTACCAACTCAGTAGGTTTATTCCAGATGTTCAGCATTTACCAATGAATTTTACAAACAGTGAAAGACAAATAAAGTAGATGATTTATTAAACTAAGTCCCTGGCTATGTAATATCTTTAAATATTGATGAAAAAACCAGAAAACCTTCAAATGCAAATATTTAGGATATAAGATGCCAGATACCTGGTGAAGTCTAATGATTCAGTTTACAGCTGTTTCTTTTATTTTTCATTGTTTTAGTTAGTCATATTCCCCACCCCACAATTCCCAACAGTCACTTAGATATTTATTTCTGTATAAGTGTTTCTTGAGTCAAGAGTATGATGCCCTTTCCCTTGCAAACATTTCTTTAGCTCTACTTTTGGAAGACAGAAATATGCCTCAGAACAGCCAGTGCCGTCATCTGTCCCAGCAGATTCTAATCATCACCACTAGAGAACTGTTCTCCCCACAGGTGTCCTTTTGGCAGCAAAATGTTGTCCAAGAAACAAAAATTGACTCTTCGAAAAGAGATTTGGTAAAAAATCAGGAATGATGGTTGCTCAAAGCAGTCATCAGGTTTTTTTTGTTGTTGTTGTTTGTTTTGTTGTTGTTGTTGTTTTCAGTCTGTGGGTTTTTCTAAGAGCTCTCATTCTTTTTTTTTTTTTAAATTTATTTTTATGTGGTGCTGAGGATCGAACCCAGGGCCTTGAACATGCAAAGCTAGCGCTCTACCACTGAGCCATAACCCCAGCCCCTAAGAGCTCCCATTCTTATATCCAAAACCCCATCATACCTTTATGAAAACTCCCCAGTGAAACTGAATATTCAGTGCTCCTGCACCAAAGTGATATAATGATAGAGCTAATACAAACCACAGTGAAAAATTGTAAAGTATACCTCCAGAGCAACTCTGCGGGACACTCATGACCCAGGGAAGACAGTTCTCATCTCTGCCTGTGGCCACACAGCCCCCAGGAAGGAATGCGAGGGAGGATGGTGTTACAGTGAAGTGATGGAAACTCCAGGATGCTTTGCCATCCTCCAGGCCTTTGCCTGTGGATCTCCCCTCAGCAGACTGTTCTCTGGGTAGCTTTAACCATCTAGGCTCCTGTCATTGCTTGGCCAGGGCATTCTATCTTTGTAGTATGGCTTGTAGTGTTTACTGAAAGGCTATATTCAAAGCAGTGACTCTTAGTAATTGTTTTCATTTAAAAAAAATGTTAAACATGCTTTTGGGGTTGCTTTGACATAATCAGAGATGTCTGAAGAGCTCTTCTCTATAAGAAAGCGGTGATCTTATTGAATATAACCCCAAGGATAGAAATGGGGTGGAGGAAAGAAAGCTAATCGAGGAATAGACTTCAGCTCATTTTCTAGAAAGCCTTCTACTACTTGTAACTGCCTAGAAGTGGCAGGAACCACATGGGAAGATATAAAAAGGATTCAAATTCTGGATGGGAGAATTGAACTATGTGATATTCAGGCCCATTTCAATCCTGAGGTTCTGTGAGTCTTCTAATTATGTCAGAAGTCACCCATTTGTTCGTTTACTCATTTTTCCCCTGAGGAATATTTCAGTGTTATTCCTCTTGAAATAATTTTCCATCTGCTGTTGATTGTTCTTTTTTTTCCAATTTTGGTGGGGTTATTTTTTGTTTGGTTTGGTTATATGTGACAGTAGGATGTATTTTGACATATTATACATACATGGAGTTTAACTTCTCATTCTTGTTTTTGAATTGGCTATTTCTCTCATACTTTGGATAAAACCAACTTAACAAGTACACTGAAGCTGGGCTGAAGGAATTTGTCCAGCATCTGCAATACTGACATTTATTTGCATTCTATTTCATGAAGGATGCAGTAATACTACCTCACAAATATGTGTATTTTATTTTATGTAAGTATGTGTTTTTTTGTTTTGTTTCATTTTAGATGTTATTTTATTATTCACTTATTTATATGAGGTGCTGAGAATTGAACCCAGTGCCTCACACATGCTAGGCAAGTAACTCTACAACTGAGCCACAACCCCAGCCCCAACATGTGTTTTTATAAAATAAAATATACTTATTTATTTAAGTATATACATATATATATATATATATATATATATATATATATATTTTATGTAAAATTTATAACTGTAAGTGAATTTCTAACAGATTTTCTCCTTAGGATTTTAATTTTTTCAAAAAGTTATTCTCACTGTTTTATGTATTTATAAAAGTGTTACATCTCACAATAGAAAAGTAGGAAACTTTAGAAAACTTTGAGGAAGGAATTAGAAATCCTACCTCATACAGAGTCCTCATATACTAACATTAGAGCAATTTAAATAAATGTATTAGATTGTTTTTTAACTCCTAATTCCTTTTTATCCTAGTTCCTGAGTATATTTCAATTAGCAGAGCTGGTCTGGAAATATTTCATAATGGATAGCATCTGTATATGTCTTCATTTCTTACAAAAATGTTTCTCTGTTGATGATTCCATTTAATCATCCCAATAAAACTATAATGCGAAGAATATCAACATTGTCATCCCTCCTATCCTTTTTTGAAGATGATGAATATATTTATTTAGTAAAATACTCCCAAAGCATGCTACCACTATTTGAAGTCCTTTATGCTTATTAACTTATTTAAACCTCATTACAACTCTAAGAGTAAGATGCTGTTATTATCCCCATTTTACAAATGAGGAAGAAAGGCTTTAAGGCACAAAGAGGTTAATTTGCCTGAAATTGCCCGTCTACTAAGTGGCAGGAGTGGGGTTTGAATTGAGGCTAGAATTGCTCTTTACTCATATGCAATCTCACCTCCCAAAGGTGGAAAAATAAGAGTTGACAAAATTGAAATTGAGCAAGCATTGCTTGGGCAGTGTCTATATGCCAATTGCTGTTATAGGAGCACTGCCTGGAGTCCACCACTTATGAGACTAATGTAACTATGTCACAGCTATTCTGTGACTAGGATGATGAGGGCTCTGTTGTAAAGGTACCAAGGGAAGTGAAAAGGCAGTAGATGGAGGGATAAATTCTATCTGATGGTAGCACAGATATGTCATAGTCTGGGTTTTTGTTGTTGTTGTTGGTGGTGGTGGTGGTGGTGGTAATGGAGGTTTTATGACTGAATAGCATAGACTAGGTCATTCAAAAAGTATAGAGGTTCATTTAGCTTTCAGTTCTGGAGGCTGGAAAGTCCAAGGTTGAGGGACCACATCTAGGGAACATCTTCTTGCTTGTGGAGACTCTGCAGAATCCTAAGGCTTTGCAGGGCATAATGTGATGAGAGGGTCCAGACAGGAGAGAACCAAATTGCCTTTTATAACAGCCCCTCTCTCATGATAACCCATGAATCTACTAGTACATCATTGCATTAATCCATTCATGAGGGCAGGGTCCTCATAACCCAGACAGACCTTGAAGGTCATACCTGTCTCATCTTCTAATAATTCTCAATGGTGATTAAATTTCAACCTCAGTACTGGTAGGAACATTCAAAATATAGCACTATGTATTGTGCCAGATGCTTTCAAATATGTGATTTCAATTTAATCTTAAGGAAAGCCTTTTAAGGAAACAGGGTCAGAGAAATCAAGTAACTTGCCCTAAGATGCACAGCCAGGCCCTGGCTGGACACAGGTCTCTCTGGTAGCAATGCTAGATGACTTTCTACTATACCAGGAGCATTATTTTTGGAACACTTCCAATTATGGAAATGGAGTTTCAGAGAACTCAAGTTGCCTGCCAAAACCATGCTGGCAGCAGAGTGCTAGGCCAGGATTCAAACAAACACTTTTCTTATACCTCTATGAGCACCTGCCAAGGTGTGAGCTCCTCCTAGTCCTTGCAGCTCTCAAGTCTGGTGGCACATATGAGGATCCCCTCACAGGAAGAAAAGGAAGCCCATGCCTTTGTTTCACGCAGGGAGGGGCTGACCATAACAGTGAGCCCCTGAGGCAGGGCATCTGTGTTACCTCCCTTTCACAAGGTAAGGACATTGTGAGTATAGATGGCAAGTGACTTCATGAATGGAATTATCACAATCAGTTTAGCAGCAGCCTATTGTTCTATGTATCAGAACTTGTTATAAACAATTTTCTTATATTGTCTCATTGAACATTTACCATAATCTTTGAAGTCTTTGTTACTATTTTGCCAACATGAAAACTAAGTTCCTAAAAGGCCAAATCACTGCCCTAAGTCACAGACCAAGTAAGTGACAGAGATAAAATTTAAACCCAGCTGGCGTAATTTCAAAAGCTAGACTTTTAGAATAGAATCTCTGTTTTCCAAGTTCACATAGCTTACGAGTAGCCAAACCATGATCTATCTCACAGTCTCTTGAATCCAGGTGTCTGTTCATTGTTCCACTGTGACTGTTCGCCTGAGCTCTTGGACGACAGCTTGGGTCTAGCATTACATAAGAGTTCGCTCACCTGGCTTCCACAGCAAACCTGTGGCTACTGACATGGATGGTATTTCATTCTCCCTCTGACAGGGCTTGTGGAGCACAAGAACTCCCAGTGACAAATCATGTTCCTACTATACAGTTCTCCAAACCTGACCCAATTATGTGATTGGCTAGAACCTGAAAATACCAGATGGGAGATGGGGAAAAGGGAGAGGGAGACAGTTGGGCTCATTAAAGTATGACCATTTGGTGCTATCTGGAGATGCTAGGTGTCAGAATTGATTGCTCAAATTTTTCCAGCCAGTTTGTTTTTAGAATTTTGGTCAGTGGCAAGACTAGGGCGGGGAGGATTATTTCTGCTTAAACAATCTAATTAATTGCTTGAGTCTAAGTGCAAGAGAAAAAGTACAGCACTGGTTCTCATTGCAGTCTGTGTATACAGGTGGTCCCACTATTTCTGTAAACTGTTAGACCTTAATATCATTTTTTTCCAAAGGGAACATACTTATTGTAACAATAAGAGAATGTGATGCTAAATTTTTACCAAGATTGAAGAGAAAAGGTTGTGAAACAGTGAACAACTTTTTGTAGGAAACAGTGGTTGTTCAGCAAGTCCCTTAATCTGTCTGAGCCTTAGTTTTCACATCTAGGTAGAGAACTAATAGTCTCCTTGAGAATTTATTCACTCATTCATTCAATCAAGATTCTCTAAGCATCTACTGCATGCCCAGATCCATGTTAAGTCCTGGACCATTATACAGATTACAGATAAAATAGGTAAAGTGCTTAGCACAGCTTCAAATACTTCATGTTTGCTTAAATGACAGCTATTTTCCTTTTTTTTTTTTTTAAGATTTTGAGCTTTTGGTGCCAGAGAAAATTACACCACATTATTTAAGGTTTTATTTCTGATCCTTAACTCTTATTTTAGCAGCAAACTATCCATATCCCAGGAAGAGCTAGGAGAGAGAGTTAGGGGCTAAAGTGGCCAGTAAGGGGTTGAGGGAAATACACTGCCACCAAAAAGAGAGGTTTGCAAAGAGCCCTCAAAGGCATTTACCATAGGCCTTTGTAGTGGAAAATCAAAATCCTGGTTACTGGAATGGTAAGGTGGGAGACCAATTCAGTATGTGTGATGTAATTTGCAAAGGGGCATTTAGCTAAACTGACTTCAGTGTTCAAAGCAAATTTATTTTGAATTTTGAGGCCAGCTCGGTATGGTGCTCAATGATTATATACTTCAATTTTGTTGTGGTTTATATAATTCAGAACATCTGGGTGATGGGGGATACAAAGGAAGGGGATGTTTATCATTTCTCAAAAATTCAGTCTAGACTTCTAAGGGTATGTATGGGTCTTAATCCTATGAATGACCCACCCCAAAACCTCATGTTTTTTTGAGAATTTCCACTAAGTCAGGCATGGAAGGTCCTAGAGTACTGTTTGTCCCAAACTGAGTGGCTGTGGAGAGACACCCATGATCATGTTCAGCCTGTTTCTACCACTTTCTAGTTTGGTAAGCTTCAAGTCTGAGCTCTCTCAGCCATAAAATGGAGTTGATAATACCTACATCACTGGGTCACTATGGGCGCCAAATGAGATGATATAAAAGTGAAGGAAATTCACTGGTAAAGTTGTTAAAACTTTAGCTACCATTTACATTATCATCATTCCTGCAACTTTGCACCCAAATAAAAAGCAAAACTGTTCCGACTTCCTTCATGAGTGAACCAAAACTTTTACCTGAATAAGCTTTTAAAATTTTGTTTTCTTTTCCTGTTAACTGCTTGAAGATTAACCTCATATTCACCATGGTTTATTATTAACATATGGATGTGCATTTGTGGGTGTCTTTGTGTCTGACAATATTCTTTGACAACCTTTTAAGGTTTAAGTGATGAACCAGTAATATTGGCCTAGTAAGGACATCAAGAAAATAGAAAAGGATAAACTTTAGGGAGGGAAATAGAATGCTCTGTCCAAATAATTCTTAGGTTTGAATTCAGACTTATATTATGTATATTTGGGGACTGTGTGACTTCTTTGAGTTTCTGCAGAATTTATTTGCATAATATGATCAAACAAACATTCTTCTCCACGTGCTACAGTCATTTTGGCAGCATCAAATGAATTAGTAATTCCCATCGTTTGCCTAGTTAATTCTAAGTAGCCAGAATAAAGTCAGGACTCTCACAACACTTTTAGAAGACTACAAAAGAGATGAATATGAATTATCATTTGCACTTGGATTAAAAGAGAAAAACTGGTGAAGTTCAGAACAGGCTTTTTCCCAATGAGCACTTGGCAAGTTAGCTTCTCTGAAAATTTTCTTACTTTCCTCCTAACTGTTGTATGTTGGGTTCAAAAAGAAACTCTCAGTGGAACATATTGCTTTAATACCTGAGGTTAGATTTGAAAAATGTTGTTCATCTGTTTCCACTCAAATATTCTACACTCAAACTGAAATAAATGTATTCTGAAACTTTATTCTGTAACCATGGAAACCCTGATCTTTACTGCGTTTCAGCTGGAAACACAAAAGAACTCTCAGTTGGAAAGGAATACGCTGTTAATTATTGATTTATGAATTGCTTAGCTTCATAAACCATTAAGTTCCTATAGATTCAGGGTCTTTTCTTCCCTTGCCCTTATTTTCTTTCCCCAAACAGAAAAAAAATGAAATTAAGCCTAGCTGAATTTAAACAACAACAACAAAATCATGCTACCATAATGCATTGGATATTATTTTTTATTAAGAAATATTCATTAAGCTCTTGCTATAACATGCTAATGAGATATATGTACAGTCTTCCCCTTAAGGAACATACACCTATATGCAATGCAAAACTAAACAGAAAAATCAAGAAATAATATTGACATAGGTATTAAATTAAGTGCCATTGTAGCTTGGAGGAAGCAAGGTTCATGTCAATCTGAAGAGACTCAGAAAAATCAGGAAATATATGTCGATTCCCTTTCATTTCTGACCTTGAAATATGCACAAGTCCTATCAATACTTTTTCCTTGTACTTCTCTAGCCCTTCCCTCTTCTCTGCCTCATTATCATTTCTTTCCTAACTATGAAAACAGCTCCTAAATAGGCCCGCTAGCCTCCTCCTATTTTTTACTTCCCCAGTCTATATTCCACATATACCAGGATCATTTAAAATATTAATTTAATTGTATCACTTCCTTACTTTATGACCACTAATAACTCATTAGGATTCCTAAAAGGAAAAACTTCAGTCCTTGAAGTGGATTCAGACCCATTTCAAGAGGCCCACCACCTGGGCCTCTCCTCCACATCCTGTTACTCATACGCATACCACAATTTTCTGCAATCTTCTAGTGCATTCCCGTTCCTCCTGTCTGGAAATTCCCCCTGATAAGCTTTCTCATTCTTAAAGTCCCCCATGAATTCACTCCTTCTCCAAGAAAGAAGCTCATCCCAATGCTTTCCACCCCTTTTCACCTTCCCAATGAGATGAATGCACCCACTGAATATCAATAGTCTTACTGAAGAAAAATATCATTCCTTGTTTACATCTCTGTGCTTGCCAAGGGATATTGCAGTCATGCTTTTAAAATATTTTTATTTGTTCTCCAACTCCTCTTTAGTACATGTTAGACACTCAAAAAATGTTTGATGAATGAGTGAAGTGGTGGGTAAAATGATAAATCCACAGAAGCAACAGAAGGATATTGGGCTTCTTGATAAAAAAAATTCAAGATTGTACATAATGCATTTGATTAACAAATGAAGCTAAATACAGTAATATTCTTACAGGAAGGGAAGGAAAAAGAAAAAGGGAAGGGGAGTAAATCTCATTTCATCTTCATTTTAGGTGTTTGTCCCTATGGACTGCAATTTCTTGAAATAGATTTTGATTGATTGATTTAGCATTTAAAATAACAAATATCATTTTTTTCTCCCTCTTTGTTCCTTCCAAATACTGTGACTCTCAGCCCATGTAACATAAAATTTTCAAGGGCTATATTAGACGCTTGGAGACTTTATACCAAGATTTTTATACTAAACAAAGGAAGAGAAATATTTTAAAATAGGTTTTACTTGAGTTGTAAGAATAAGGATAAGGTGTTCTTAATCATAAATGCCTTGTCATATGCTAGACTCATTATTTTCCCCTTTTCTTTAGGGTGGAAAGAAAAGAACGTGCCCGATTGAAGACAGTGAAGTTTAATGCAAAACCTGGAGTGATTGACTCAAAAGGGGTAGGTACAAAATGAAGCAAACATAAAGTTCTCTCAGTTGCCATGGATTTAATGATAATCGAGATTTAGACTTACGGCAGCAAACAAATTATGGAGCCACTAGATGGTATAATACTGTTACAAATATATTGCTAAAAGAACAATGCCATTTCTTATAAAATGGATTTATGGTGAATATATTAAATACAGAGGGTAAAGCTAGTGGTCCTCAGAAATGATGTGTTGATGGAGGTGAGGTAATGACTGCAATGAAGAAGAAAACACTGCAGTTTTCATGACTTTACTTTTCTAAAATTAATGTTCTAAAATGTTGGATTTCATAAAAGGTATCTGCTTATTAGAAAACATGTCTGGTTTGTTACACATTATAAAGTTAAGACAAAGGTCATGGAAATATTCACATGGGTCATTTAAGTGAATATGTGGATTGTTGTGACAGACATAGAAAAGGAGAGAATTAACAAATCTCCAAAATTAAAATATTGACTCACACACACGTACATCTTTTTAATATGACAGCTTTCATGAGATAAAAATTACATATTATACAACTAATTGAGTTAAATTCAAAGTGTACAACCATCATAACAGTCTATTTAGAGTACTTCATCACTGCATAAAGAAATCCTGCATTGATTAAGTCACTTCCATTTCCCTCAACCTTCTTTCCCCATCCAGCCATAGGCAACCACTAATCTACTTTTTTTCTAGAGACAGAAAATGTGCCTGTAGATATTTTATACAAAAGGAATTATTTACCTTATGGTCTTTTGTGCCTACTCATTCATTTTACATGATGTTTTCAAGTTGTATTTGTGTTGTTGTACATATAAGTACTTCATTTCTTTTTATTGCCAAATAATAGTCCATCGTGTGGAAATACTTTTAATATATCCATTTATCCTTTGGTTATTCCTGACTTTTAGTTATTATGGATAATACTGCTATGAACATTTGTGTAAAAAATTTATGTGGACATATGTTTTTATTTCTGTTGAATCTATACCTGAGTTAAATTGCTGGTATCAGCAATATGATAACTCTAGGCTTACCATTTTGAGGAACTGCCAGAGTGTTTTCCACTTCACATTTCAACCAGCAGTATATGAGGGTTCCACATTCTCCCCATCCTCACCAACACTTAGCATTGTATTTCTTTTTTGCATAGCCATCTTAGTTGATATGAAGTGGTATTTCATTGTGATTTGATTTGTGTTTCCCTATGACTGTTGATGTTGAGGATCTTTGCATGTTCTTGTTGGCTATTTGTATATATTTGAGAAATGTCTATTTGGGTCCTTTGCCAATTTTTAGATTTGGAGTTTTGTTGTTGTTACTGATTTGTAGTACATCATATATTCTGGTCATTAATTCCTCATCAGACAAATGCCTTTCAAATAGTTATTCCCATTCTCTGTGTTATTTTTTTACTCTTTTGATAGTGCCCTTTGAGATACAGGGTTTTTTTAAATTTTTGATTAAGTTAAGTGTATTTAGTTTTCCTTTTGTTATTTATGTTTTTGATGTGATAGCTAAGAAACCATGCCTAATCCTGAAGTTCTATGTTGAAAAGGATTCTGGGGCTATATATAACATCAACAGAAAAAATAGTTATGATTGATTAGTCATCTCTACCACAATGTTGGGAATTGTTCTCTTTTTACAGTCTCCAGATTCAATGATTTTTAAACAAAAAAAATTATGTCAAGTTTTCTTCTAAGAGTTGTACAGTTCTTGCTCTTATGTTTAGGTGTTAAATCCATTTTGAGTTAGTTTTTACATATGGGTAGTGTTGGGGTTCCAATTTCATTCTCTTGTATGTGAAGTATTTTTTAATTTCATTTTTAGGTTGTTCATTGAAAATATGTAGAAACATAGTTTTTGTATTAATCTAATATCCTGCAATCTTCATGAACCCATTCATTTGTTCAAATAGATTTTTAGTAGATTCCTCAAGAATTTCCTATACACAAGATTGTGTCATATGAAAAAAAGAGATAATTTTCCTTCTTTCATTCCAATATTAATGATTTTTGTTTCTTTCTCTTGACCAATTTCCCTGACTAGAACTTCCAATACAAGGTTGGAAAGAAGTGGCAACAGCTGCCATTTGTCTTGCTCCTAATCTTAAGAGAAAGAATTCAGTCTACCATTAAGTATGGTGTTAGCTATAGCTTTCACAGCTTTTGAAATCTATTTTTTGAAGGGGCAATATTTGTATTATGTTATATTGTAAAATAACACTCTACCTTCTCTCTTCCTATTCTCTTTTTCTTCATGTCTTTCCTTTGCCTTTGCATCCTAACAATTGTGGCTTTTGAGTATCATATAAAACCACAAGTTATGGTCAACAGGTGTCACCATGAAAAACAAAAAGAAAAGATATTATTTCTCACACTTTTGAGACTCAAACCACAGTGTTACCCTTTGAATTTAAAGTAGAAGTATCAATGGGAAGTCCAGTCATTTATATAATAATTTACTTTCGTAAAAATATTCAGGTGAAATAGAAATTTATTTAAGCATATTGGTGCCATTCTTTAAAAAAAGAATGAAGGGATGTAATATCATGACTGTCATGATGAATATATTGCTGTAACTAAAATACCCAACCAAAAAAAAATTAGAAAAGAAAAGGTTTATTTTGGGCTCACAGTTTCAAGATTCAATATGTGGTCAGCTGACTCCCTTGCTTTTGGGCCTGAGGTCATTCAGAACATCATGCTAGAAGGGTATGGCAGAGGAAAAATGCTCAACTCATGACAGCTGAAAGCAGAGAGAAAGGAGCCAGGGACCAAATAAAGTCCCTAAGGACTTGTCCCGAGTGACCTACTTACTATAGCCATGTCCTACATGCCTATAGTTAGTCTTCCAGTAATCCATTCAAATTACTAATCCATCAAAGGGATTAATCCACTAATTAGGTTACTGTTCTCATAATCTAGTCATTTTACATTGGAATATCCCTGCATTTTCTATCTTATGAGCTCTTGGGATGACACCTCGTATCCAAACCATAATAATGACATAGAATGCTTTCAAACAAATAGTACTTAAATACAAAAAGGTAGGATTTTTCAGTGATTTCTCATGAGAATTTAAATATAGACCTTCTGTTTATTTCATTTGTACAGTTGATATATAAAAGAGAATTTACATTGAAAGCCTACCATGTGTCAGACACAGAATAAGGGTTTATGCAGGATACAAAGTGCAGCATAGAGATCTCTCTCTCTCTCTCTCTCTCTCTCTCTCTCTCTCTCTCTCTCTCT